TCCCCTCAGTCACTGTGTAATGTCATAAACTCGGCATTCTGTTGTAGGATGTGAAAATCTTGCCCGGTAGAATCCTAACTCTACCACAACACATTTTATAATAGCTCTTTTCCCCTCAGTCACTGTGTAATGTCATAAACTCGGCATTCTGTTGTAGGATGTGAAAATCTTGCCCGGTATAATCCTAAATCTTCCCCAACACATTTTATAATAGCTCTTTCTCCCACAGTCACTGTGTAATGTCATAAACTCGGCATTCTGTTGTAGGATGTGAAAAACTTACCCGGTATAATCCTAAATCTTCCCCAACACATTTTATAATAGCTCTTTCTCCCACAGTCACTGTGTAATGTCATAAACTCGGCATTCTGTTGTAAGATGTGAAAAACTTACCCGGTAGAATCCTAAATCTTCCACAACACATTTCAGATTGGCAGTCCTTCCTACAGCCTCTGTGATATTATGAACTGGCTCAAGAAATCTGGGATCGACTTCCATATCTGAAAATTTTCCAATATTTAAAATTAACAAAGACTGATTTGATAAATAAGATTATACAAACCCTTATTATGACTTTATTATAAAAGTCAATTTGATGTTTTTCAGTGAATTTGAAACAATTTGTTAACTAGGTTCTCTGTGATATAAAAATAAGAAGAAACATTTTCGTATATTTAAAAATAGAATGTTTTTTTTAAATATTTTTACCAAACATTATTTAATATTTGCCTTTGATTTTTTGATGCAACAAGACAAACCTAAATAAGATTTAAATAGTAATCATCTCAGAATAAAAACGGCATAGGTATATTCAAATGAAGGTATTCCTGTTAGATATTGACTTTAATAGTGCGATTTCCGATAAATTTACCGAGCACACATTTTTCATATCCACACCCGGAACCAATGAAAATAGCGAAGGTAATATTCGAAGTATTTCTGGATTTTATATGCGCTAAAATGTTCGAATAGAAAGAAACTGCCGTTGTACTTGTGACGTCAGTATATGATATATACGATAACAACGAGTTTAAATTGGTCTTTGTTGTACTTGTAGAACGGTTAATGTCTAGAGATAGGTTTAATTACAACCAACTGCAGTATCACGTGGTAGAAGGACAATTAGGTATAAAAATACAGTTCAAAAATGCCAAAGTTAAAACACGTTTGCGTTAAAAAGATAATATTTTCAATTGGAAATATCATGAATGAAAATATTTCTTCATGATTTTATTTTCATTGTTTAGCATTAAGCAATATATAATTGAACATTGTTCGCATTGAAATGTAGAGTAACGCAGCATATATTATTAGACACAATATCCACAATGCATTTTAAAGCTACAGATAAGCAGCGAAATGAAGCATATGATTATTAATAAAAGATTAGATCAATATTCGATCGAACCGAGACGTCCGTTTTGCAATGAAGTTGCTGGTGACAGATAGCGAAAGATTACTTGTAGCTGACAGATAGGCCTCACGTTTTTTTTTGTTTTTTTTTGTAGCCTCACCAAGACATGTCGCTATTGTCTTTAACGTTAAAACGATATTCTTTTCATCACTTTCTTTTGGCGTCGTCCCATGACAAATCACTGGTCTGACAGGGAACAAAATATAGCGCTGACGGTGTCCGTGTTCGCCATTCATAGATAATATCTGTCAAAGGTTTTGTTGGAGTCGTCATAATTCTGTTAACTATGTCAGGACTTGCACATTAAAAGAAAAGCTTACATAAGCTGTGTAGTAAATAAGTTATTAATAACGCATTTTTATAAATAAAAACTTGCTAGATTTGAAATAAATTCTACTCAGTTTATCAGGTTATCTTTCAACTTTGAAATGTTTAATTTTGTTTGTAATTAAACACAAAGATACACAATGGGCTATCTGTGCTCCGCCCAACAAAAGAGTTCTGAAGTTAGGTAGTAGAATAACATTATATGATTATTTATTGATTGTATTAAGTATGATACTAACTAAACTAAAGGGAAAAACGTACTCAAACTACATTGTTAATTTATATCTTTTCTATCTGTTACAGGTCGTACTTAATAAAGGCTTAACTAATGGTAGGCCTAAGACAAATTGACTTACATATTTCGGTGTATACGATTAGAATTCTTTTGTATTGTTACGTCTCTGGTTGTTTGATAATTTCCCGTAAAAATTCTTTCCGAAGAATTTTAGCGATACAAGTCTTTTCTTAAATAAAACTAGTTTATTCTTTCTCAATACAACTTTGCAATACACTTAATTTGCACAGTCACTTTAACTTCAACGCACGCTATAATTCACAACGATTCACGCACTTTACTCACGACTTGACTCAATTATTTGTCTCTATATCTTTCTATCTGCAATTATCCCTCCGCTTTATTTGCCGGCTTATATACTAAAATAGAGGGCGCGTAGAAAAAACTAGATTTCCAGGAAGAGTCATGATCCTTCTAGAAACTCATGATGTGTTATTAGCGTCACGTGACTTCTGCTGTCGTAACAGTATTATTCTGGAAATCCTGTATATAAAGACGTGCTGTTGCAATAAAGATACTAATTTGACTCCAAATGTTTTTTCGGGTCTCTGCTAGTATTCTAATACTTTCGAGTTATTTTGAATACTACAGTTAACTTGGACTAATAAAAATTATAATATTTATATACCAGTTGCTTGCCCTGTTGCAGCGATAAGCAGTCTTGATGTCCACTTGTTTATATTAAAAACACAATCCCCCTTTTACTTATATTTAAGACTTTTGGGGAAAAAATGGATACTAATTATTGCAATAGTAAATAATTAAAAGTAACCAAATAATGTGTTAAAAAACTATAGTAGTAGGTTGCTGGCGCCATTTATCTTCATGTGGTCGGTGGTTCGAAATAATGGAGTGCGTTATCTGCACTGTACATGACAAACAGTTGGTGACAGGATTCAATACTTGGAGGGAGGAAAGCTTGCGTTTAGGCTGGTGCTACAAATTCCTCTAACGTGTAATCATAATTTAGTTTATTCATATGTGTTGCAGGGTGTAAGTTACGGTTAATTTTATAGTTTCTTACATTTATAATATTTACAAGATATAACATGCTGTCGTGATTATTTGTGGATTTGTTTTAGTTACGTGTAGTGTTTTACAAAGTATAAGTTGACATAGTGTAGATTTAATTATTTCTTACATAAATGTTGTTACTTCTCTGTTCGTTTGTTAATTTCCCGTTGAAATTCTTTCCGAGAAACTTCAGCGATACAAGTCCTTTCTTAGATCATGTTAACAATACCAAAATTCACGACAAATGCGAAAGTGGCTAAGGCCCTTTTAAGATATTGTTACGTATCTGCTTGTTTGATAATTTCCGGTAAAAATTCTTTCCGAGAAACTTCAGTGATACAAGTCCATTCTTGATTAAAACTAGTTTATTCTTTCTCGATACAACTTTTTGTAATACACAGAATTT